TTTTTTATCAAATTAAAGTTAACAATTTCAACCACATATTTCATGTGATCTACAACTTTTTAATAACACGCTCCATTAATTTTTATCAAAATTTGCTGAAAATGTGATTTTAATTTCCGACTAAATTGATCAACTCTGCATAAACGACTTCCATTGTTAGTTTAAAATATTCTACTCGAGAGTTCAAACATTCAGCAACTCAAAAGACAACAAAACATGAGATTGAAGCCTAGCTCAAATGGTAGAGCGATACTTTATCAAGTGATTGATGTGAATTCAAATCTCCTTTGGAGGTAAGGTCAAATTCCAATTTTAAAAATAAAAAACAGAAAACACAAAAGATTAAAGTACCATTTAAACAATAAAAGAAAAACACAACAAAGTAAAATTAACAGATAATTAAAGGGACTGAATTAATAAAAAAGAATAGGAGATGTGTGTCTGATCATCATTTTATCGAGGTCTCATTCAGTTTTGGTCCTAAGATTTTGGGGGCTTTAGGTCAACTTCAAATATTGCACCCCTACAAATATTAAAAAAAATATATAAATTAATAAATGACAATCTATTAATTTTAATTTTATTTTAGAACTTCTTTACAATAGATACTATGACCAATCCATATATTCAACCTTTTGTGTGACATTGTTGATTTATTGGAGATTTTTATATTTCAACTTTGAGAAGCTCCTTTCTACAAATGTAATTATAATTGATATAGTCAATAATATACTATAAGCAATCTACTATACATTTGAAAAATATGGGTCCATCATTTTTATATAGTCTAATATACTCTTCAACCGCATTTTTGCTTACTTCTAATAAATAATTTTTAACAATTTGCAACTCTGAAAATAACTCATACCAATCAATATCAAAACCCCTACCATGTTTCAAATATTTTTCAAATTTATCACAACAATACTTATCACAGTCTGCAATTTTTAAATCAAATATAAATCCAAAAGTATTTTTGTATTTTCAAAATTATCAGACATTAACTTAAGTGAAAAAAGAGCTTGCGTAGCTATAAACGAGAAATAATCTACTCTTCAGCTAAATATTTTATTCCATCATTAACATTTTCACCAAAATTCTTTCTATGAATTATGCATTTTTCAATAAATGTAGGTTCAACTTTCATTTGAACAACAATTTCTTAGTAGTAATCATCAATTCAAATTCAATTTCTCTATATATTTTAAAAATAAAATAAGTGATTTCAAGTGAATAATATCAACATCAAGATATATATATATATATATATATATATATATATATATATATATATACACCAAATAATTATGCCAATAAGAACTCAAAATTCAATACAAGAATGGGAAATAATGTAACAATTGAAAATCTAACCACTTTCATAGTTTTATACCAAAATTTGAAAACAAGAAAAAAAACATTAACACAGAACCATGCATATCAATCTTACTCTCAAAAACTGTAAAAGTAAGCTAGAGAATTTCATAAAGTTTGAATATAGAATGAGGAAGTGAAAAAACTAAACAAATAGAGAAAATAAAATAAAAGCTAAAAGTTCATGTAACAAACAAAAGCAATGACAAAGAGGGAAAAAAAAAAAATGAAGGCCGAGTTTGAAAAGAGAAAAAAAAAAAAGAAAAAAAGAAGAAGTCACTAATGTATTAAAATTATTTTTTAGACTTTATATAATTTTTTTTTGGAAGCGTTCCTCACGACGGGGCTTTAGGTGATCGCCTATAGTCAAGACCTCCACTAGCCTAGACACTTGTGATTGCATCAATAAATAAGTTGTGATGTATGAAACATGAAATATTCTTCTAAGTTGGAGAGTTGGTGTTTGATGTTTATTGGGATGAGATAGGTGTTCGACGGAACTTATTTTCAAATTTATTTTCCAAATTTTGATACTCACAACATTTTATTGATACTCGTAGGGCATGATTGCGTCACATACCATACACGGCGTGTCCTATAGTCTTTATATAGGACAAATTTGATTCATTTGAAAATTTTGGATTTTTATGTTTCAAAAAAGCTCAATTGTTCTATATTTTCTATGTGCACATTCTTTTTATGGGCACTAACAATAAAAACGCAACTCAAAATTCTCTCAATACAATGAACACTCAATTGAAACTTAAGAGATTTCATTTGTTAAATTAAACAAAAAGATAAAAAAAAAAAAAATATAAACTTATACATAAAAAAAAAAGTAAATTTTAAAGAATTCCAGTCCATGCATCCCGAACACGTATTTCATTAACTATGTTACTTCCAAAAAAAACTTGCATATCAATTTTGTTCATATACACGTATCATCTTTGTTTAAAATATGGTATGAGAGTTTAAGTTGGAAATACCATTGTCAACTCAATTCCACAAATTTTTCATACTAATTAACATCAACAGTTCAAAAGTGTCAAGAATAACCAAAGATTAAACAAACTTTTTATGTATATCAATGGTACGTAAATGGAAAAATCAATACCCATAAGGAGGAAATGTCCATTTAGTTCCGTGTCTGACGGGGGCAGGCTTGAATCACGACTCATACACGCAAGCCATTACGATGGATAATCATCAAAATATAACAATGTGGAAATCGAAATCTTTTGTCTAAGTTAGACTTTTGATTTTGAAACTTTGAAAGTGGAAATTGACTTTTCTATCCAATTTTTTCTCACTTCAACATGTATGTTTATATATATATATATACATTCTTTTCAATACATTCTTCAAGCAACAACTTTCAATTGATCACACGTATACACGTATACTATTCTCTCAATCTCTCTTTAAATCTCTCCCTCTCTCTCTCTCTCTACACTTATAATTGGCATTTAGTTAAAATGGAGTTTATGGGTGGAAATAGCCAACTCTTGTCCAAGCTAGCAGCCAGTGATCAGCATGGAGAAAATTCTCCTTATTTTGATGGATGGAAAGCGTATGAAAATGATCCTTTTCATCCAACTGCAAATCCTAATGGTGTTATCCAAATGGGCCTTGCTGAAAATCAGGTTTATTTGAATGTTGCAGAAATATTTCTTGGCTTACTTTTAGAGAAGAAAATATTTCAGTCATGTTGAGGTTATGTTATATCCTTTCTTGTTGATTTGATTGTCATTTGCAGCTTTCTTTCGACTTGATTAAGGAATGGATTAAGAAAAATCCACTAGCGTCAATTTGTACTAGTGAAGGAGTTAAGGCTTTCAAGGACATTGCCATCTTTCAAGATTACCATGGCTTGCAGGAATTCAGAAATGTATAGAAAATGCTAATATATTTAGACTCGTCTACGTAAAATTTTTTTTGTCATTCTACTGGATTCATGAATATTTCCACTAAGGCATTCTTCCATTCGATTTCTTTCAGGCTGTGGCGAAGTTTATGGGAAAGGTGAGAGGTGGTAGAGTTACCTTTGACCCCGACCGCATAGTGATGGCCGGTGGAGCCACCGGAGCAAATGAACTGATAATGTTTTGTTTGGCTGATCCTGGGGATGCATTTTTGGTCCCTTCACCTTATTATCCAGCGTAAGTACATAAAAATACACGGTTCATTGTAATATTGATTTCTATTTACTTTGTAATATAGACAGTGAAGGAAATCAAAATCATGTTACAAAAGTACACATAATCATGTGGTTTACTAGAGCTACGTACATGATATGAGATTTTTTTTTTCACTGTCTTGGAGATAAATAAATAATGTTTAATAAAAATATTAAGACAACCTAAGAGTCAAACGGACGGTCTTACCAGCTCTAAGAAAGAAATTTCTCGCCTCCAAGAATGTAAAAATTTGTAATGTGAATCTGCCATTTTTTATTGCTCTAGTATCATTTTTTCCTTTCAGGAATGTTGTTGTTGAAGTCGACAGGTATATCTACAAATTGGGTCAAGTAGGAAAGCTGCAATTGAGACATAGGACTCTCTTTTTCTATCTGGACCCTACCACCTAAGTTATGAATTCCAGACAGAATTCTCCTAAGATGGTGAACCATAAAATATTATCAAAACCGAACAGGTCACATCTGGCTACTAAGAAAATTTTCAAACACATGTTTTACTAGGATTACTGTTGTCTAATTCTCCAAAATTCAATGAAGTGACCGTAGACTAAAAATCCAATCACTCTCACAAGTCCGTGTTGCAAGTTAGAAATCCTAATTCTATCACAAAAGAGCAATAAATATACAGAAAGAAAATAGATAGCTTAACAAATAAAGTTTACGTAGGTTCTCTTCAATATGAGACTGTCACCTTCCGTCGCTATAATAATTCACTTTAATGAAAAGAAGTTTATTAAAAAAAATTGCACACACTATCTTGTTTAACTTCTCTATTTTATGATGGTAATACAAAAACTAGTGACGGCTCCATATATACAGAGATCGATTCGCATATTGAATTCACACAATAGCAATAATTAGGCTCATAACAATTCCAAGTAGCAGTGTTTAATGAAATGAAGAAATTAACCTTAGTAAAAATATATGGCGAGGGGACATAACTATGTCCACTTTGCTCGTTTTCGATCGTGGCTTTTGTCTGAAGGAATTAGAGCACTAAAATCAAGGCAACATTGATCGGTAAAGAAATATTGCAGGTCATGTACAATATATATAGAGCATAGTCTAAATATACGTATTATACAATTTGCATGTTAAAATCAATCTTGCTTATATATTTGACATTTGATTGTTACAGATTTGATAGGGACTTGAGTTGGAGAACTAGGGTGAAACTGCTTCCTGTTGCCTGCGAAAGCTCGAATAATTTCAAAATTACGATACAAGCACTTAAGGAGGCATACGAGAATGCCCGAAAAGCCAACATCAAAGTGAAAGGCATCATCATAGCAAACCCATCAAATCCCTTAGGAACCACTATGGACAGGGAAACACTGAGAAGCCTAGTAACTTTCATAAATGAAAAGGAAATTCATCTGGTGTGTGATGAAATATATGCAGCCACAATTTTCTGTGCTCCGAAATTCGTTAGTGTCTCCGAAGTTGTTGAAGAAGTCAAATGCAATCGCGATTTAATTCACATTGTCTATAGTTTGTCGAAGGACATGGGCCTTCCCGGATTCAGGGTGGGGATAGTTTACTCATACAATGATAAAGTTGTGAATTGTGGGCGAAAAATGTCGAGCTTCGGATTAGTCTCATCCCAAACACAACATTTGTTAGCATCAATGTTGGCAGATGAGGAATTCGTTGACACGTTTTTAGCAGAAAGCTCGAAAAGGCTTGGAAACAGGCACAAGATCTTTACCAGGGGACTTGAAGAAGTTGGAATAAAATGCTTAGACAGCAATGCTGGCCTTTACTGCTGGATGGATTTGCGCCCATTGCTCAATGAACCTACATTTGAAGGTGAAATGGCACTATGGAGAGTAATAATCAACGACGTAAGGCTCAATGTCTCTCCAGGATCATCGTTTCATTGTGTAGAACCTGGCTGGTTTAGGGTTTGCTTTGCAAATATGGATGATGAGACATTGGGAATTTCTCTTCAAAGAATTCGATTGTTGGTGGGCAAATGGAAGGAAATGGGTGCACAAGTAAAGAATAATGGACGGAAAAAAACTCTCAAGCTTAACTTTTCTTCAAGAATCTACGATGCGGCTGTCCTGTCGCCTCACATGATGTCACCTCACTCTCCAATCCCTCACTCACCCATTGTTCGTGCCAGGACTTGAGTTTCTTACAAGATTCACAACCTTTTTTCCTTCATTATATTTGAAGGTTAATATATTTTTTTTTGTAACAGAAAAAGATTTACTTTTCATGTTACATGTAGGTGTGAATTGTGTGAACTTGTTATGGTAGTACAATGTCGTAACTTGACATATTTTTATATTAATAATCAATGATATTTGTGAGTGAAATAAAAACCATGTAAAAGGTATGTATGGGAATGAAAGTTTCTATCAAAATATAGTTTTGTTTTTAAGTGGAAACACTATCAAGGTTATATGCTTCCACCTTGACTCGACGTGGGATTTGGATTCCCTCGTCCTGTTTTATTGAAAATCAAATAAGTACAAGTGGGAAGGGACTTAACTACCTTACCTCCATAATAAACATTTTGAGGAAGGAAAGAGAAAATTGAAAAGCAATAAATGGAAGTAATCACGTCTAAGTAATATGAACAATTTGGCATGTTAATTATTGACAAGCTCAAAAATGGAAATTCTCATCTTTCTTGTATAGTTTCTAGGCAGTTAGCCTTCAATTAACTTGAAGAAAAAAAAAGTGATTTAGCTCAAATAATGCCTAAAGTCTCCCATGCTTTCCTGGTTGGATTTGTTGGTTAATGAATTTTAATTATCATAATATGAAATTAATTTTTCTTTAGAGTGACGATTGTCTCATCTCAATAATTAATGGATTCCAATATTGTAAGTATATGATCTCTAATTGTTTCGGCCCGATTCCCGAAGCACCGAGATCAATATTCTATTTAAGACTTCACTTATTGGTACCTCAAAGAATTTGAACTAGCAATCAAAGGTACATTACTCACCCAGGATTTAAGTGACCTGTTTGATAATCAAATAGAGTCTCATTTCAAACGGTCACAAATGAGTCATCTACGCGGTCCCGTTCAATGTGCATCAAAACACATTATTGTTCCTATTTCAAGATCTAGACAAATCTTAATAAGAACAATACAATCTTATCAATATAAAGTGTCCAACTTTATGAATCGATTGTGAACGACATAATTTTGATTACATCACAAATTGTGTCTTACTATACCCGATCCATCGAGCATACAATTTATGACATCCTATATGATCATGGAACTTTAGACAATCACTTCAAATATAACACACAAATAAACGAACATAAATTCATAATGTAATTTTACAGAACATTACTTGAAGAATAGACATCAAACTAACAGGATCAACCCAACATGCCAAGAGAAAACTGACTCTAGCAGTGAGGAGCCTCTGGTGGAGGACAAAAAAATATAGATAATTGAGACTTCGTACCTTTGTGCACATAGAATTTGACGATATAGAAACGTCACCTATGGCTCAAGGTGATTAGGATTTTGGCACAAGTGTGACCCAACTACTGATGCCAATAAGAGGAAGAGGCTTTGAAGCAAAAAAAAAAATAAAAATAAAAATGCAAGAAGTGATGAGGATGAGAGTCTGATTAAAGGTCAATCGTATACACCAATATTAATTGATCCCTATACCGCACAATGCTTCACAAGGAGGATGGAGAAAATTTACAGAAACATGAGTAGTTGAGCAAAACTGAGAGATATGAATCGATAATTTTTCATAGAAAGAACACACAAAACATTAGACAATTAATTAGAAGTATGAGAATGTGAGGAAATGTGTGTATAACTGTGGTAGCTTTCATCTTTCACGGGCAAATCCCTTTATTTATCTATTTTTCGTTAGAAAAATTTACAAAACACACCCTTATACAAGTTAATGTTTATAAACATAAAGGGATATTTATTATTTGATTTTTCTCAACCATTTTGAATGCAAAAATTACCTTACAAGATTTAAAATAAGCTTAAACTTTAAATATAGATGAATAGTTAATTTACAACTATTATAAACCAAATGCTGTATTCCATCTTGAACTACCCTTTTTTTTTAATTATTTTAATAAGTACATGTACACCATTTGTTCCTGATGAATATGAATTTTGGAGGGGCAGTTAGCTCTTCTCCAAATATTCAAATTTTTAGATGATATTAGATTCTTACTTCAAGTCGTGTCGTCATCATTTATGAAAAATTATGAACATCTAAGATGTTTGATGACAAATTTGATTTGCCAATGAAGTGTTAACATGTAAGGCTTATACTCTTAAAGAACATATTGATTTTATCCATATACGGGACGAAAAATGTAGACGCTAAAGAAATTAATACTACTTATTCAAGAAATTTACGACCGTTAAAGTTAATGTTCATGTTTACTGGGGTTTCGATTGTATGGGTAATTATAATTATATATACTTCAATTTTACATTTAATAAAATTTTTATTCTAATAGAGATAGATATGGGGGAGTTGGACCATTGCAAATGGAATAAAAGAAAAAGAGAAGTCAAATATTATACTGATCAACACGGATGTTTAACAAATGACAATGACCAATATTTGATCTGAAGCAAAAGTCAATGGAAAATTTGATCTGTATATCTATTTATTATTCAATTTTTATAAGTGAAATGAAAAATAAATATTCAGGTTGAATATGGAAAATAGTATGACCGAAATATGCTCCAAATAGTATTTTATTTGTTATATTCCAGCCCTTTGATCCATTTATGTGTTGGCAGTTGAGTTGTATCGTCAATATATAATTGATTATAAAAATTGTGTTGACAAAATTGCATAAATTATCTATTGAATAAACAGGAAATTACTTATATACTATGCGAATAACTAGAAAACAATTAAGGTAAACGAAATGTAATTAATAATCATAAGAAATTAGCAATTCTCATATGGTTAATTATATATATCCTATAATGGAAAAGTCTTGATATATATAATTTATGTATGTAGAGATGTTCACACTTCTCACATAGAGTGGGATCCACCTCACGCAAATTCCAACCCATGTGAGCTTTATATAAATAAATTATGTACACAAAGCACGACCCTATTATAAAATTACTTAAACGATACTCATGTGAACAAAGATAACATGAAGCTACTTCTTCACCAACCCCCACAAGATTTTACGCTTGAGATCCAAGTAATTGATATGAAGAGACAAAAGCAAATTTTAAGACTTATTTTATGTTGAAATCAAACATTGACTTTTTTGTACAGAGAATGTTTAGATAAATTTATGTATATATATTTTTTCATATTTTATCAGTTCTTTTTACCAACTACACTGTTTTTAGGCTCCAACATATTCATACCAATCATGTTACATAAATATAACGATTGACATAATCCTCGACATAATGTCACATGACAATTAACCTTTTCATTCAATCATATTTTGTCAACATCTATTATTTCACTCTATTTGTTATACTTTTTTTGTCAAAGTAACATTATTCTATGCATAATGACCAAATAACTCATCAATTGACTTTTCTGTCTCAATTAAATCATTGACTCAAATTTTGACTTTCGAGAACTGAATATTGAAGAAATAGTACGTGGGGAGGCGTGGAGTGGGCGAGTCATGGTCATGAAATAATAAAATATTTCCAAATAATATTGCAGCTTGTTTTGTAACTAATTGTATTTTCATGTGTATACATTTGTAACTAACAAAATATTTTTTTAAGCATATTGCTTGCTCAAATTAGTTTCAGTCACCTTAAGCACTTTATATATAATATATATTTTTTTAATTCCCAGTGACAGAGAAATAGTACATGACAGAATGTAAATTATATATGCAAGACCCAAAAGTCGGCGACTTTGAAAGTGGTTCTCATTGAACTAACTTAAATATAAACTTTAATTCGAAATTCGAATGACCAAGTAATATGATATAGAGTTAGTGTGAATGCATTGACATGAAAGAAGGTAGAAGCCCTTTTTTTTTTTTTTTATCAATTAATCAAAGCTGATAATTATGGTTTCCTAAATATTGGTAAGAAAATCATTCTAACAATAGTACTCATATGCATGACATGTTTGATCTTAGATTTCACTGTTGTTACTAGTCAACCTAGATGATAGTACTTTAGATAACCTCAATCAAATAGAAAAATAATAAAAACAAAGTGGTATTAAAAAAAAAAGGAAAAAAAAAAAACCTATTTGAGCACATATTGATTACCAAATAGAAAAATAATGAAAACAAAGTGGTATTAAATAAAATGAAAAAGAAAAAAAAAAAAACTATTTGAGCACATATTGATGTTTCAATATTGTTTAAACAAAGGGCTAGGGAAAAAAAATTTAAATTACTTGTGTAAAACAAAGAAGCTTATCCCAAGTCGATACTTCAACATAACCTCCAAAACGAAAGACGAACATGCAAACAACTAGAAATAATTATAAAAATATCCAACAGTCACATTGATACTTTTGAGATAATCCCTTGAAATAAAAGAACAAGCAAAAAAACTAAAATCTTTCACGTTAAAGTAAAACAGTTTTAAACTCTTGTCTGAATCCTAGCTTTCATGAAATTCCATACAATCCTAACCATGGCCAAATCTACTGGATATGACCTTTCTGGAGACTTCACCATTCAATGTTGTCTTTAGCTATTCAGGCAGCACAGTCCTCCTAAAAGTATGTATGGAAAAAGGTTAACCTTCTTAAAATTTCCTTTTTTGCATGAAGCGCATGGCATAATTGGATTTCACTAGATAATAACCATAAATGCAGAATAGACTTCCAGATTGCCTCAAGATGCCAATGTTGTGAAGCTGAGGACCATTCTACAGGATGGTATAGTGGCTATACATAGGCTTGAGAGTTATCGTGTTAGGAATTTTGAATTCCGCTAAGAACATTTCAGCAGGCTAATTCTTCTCTTTCGACTCTAGAGATTTTCTCAAACATCACTTGGTAGGTTTGTAGTGGTGGCAATGAGCCGACCTGAGCCGGCTCGGTCCATCTACCCATTAGCTCAGCTGGTCAAAGTGACGAGCCGAGCTCGGCTCATGGTCAAGGTCAGAGTCAAGCTCGTAGCTCTTGAGCCAAGCCAAGCCGAGCCTACGACCTCAAGATTTTTTTTTAATTTTTTAAAAATTATTTGACTTTTTGTTTACATTTTGTATGAGCTCATGAGTCAAGGGCTCGTGAACTTCAAGGCCCACGAGCCGTTCATGAGCTCAATGAGTCGAGCTGAGGGAAACTCACACACCATTGGGGCTCGAGCTTGTCATAGAACGAGCTCAAGTCGTCCATGGGTCAAGTTTTGACGAGCTACTCGACTCTTTTGCCACCCCTATTGGTTCGGTTCTTCAATCATTCCCTTTTA